GCAGCCCTGGCTTCAGTTTCTTTTAGGCAGTATCATGGCTCCTACTGACCCCTAAAAACTAGTGTCTAGCTTTTCACCGTTTCACACCAGGCTATCCCACACTCACCCCATCCTGGGCAATGGAACTCGTTATCTGGTCCCTCCGTACAAAACAGTTCCTCTTCTCATCGGCCTCAGTTGGCATTGGTTTAACTGGGAATCATCCTCAAAATAATAGTGCTTAAGCCATTGGAGGTTTATTCCTCCTTCACACCACATTGGAGTGGACAGTCCTGAGCTGGCAGGGGGTCCGAGGCGTCAGGGACGCAGGCTTGTTGCCCTGTTGTGCGTGGCCCTTGTCCTTTTAAGATGGAGCACCGGCCATCGTGGCCATATTCCAAGAAGCAGGGCAGAGGGAGGGGGGAAAGATAAGGGGCCTTGTGAAATGATAGAACATATATATATACATTGGTTTCTGCCCCCAGTTCCTGGCACAGGGCCCCTGAAATCCCTGTAACTTCCTAAATGCCAACACTGGGAGCATCCCTTGTTCTAATGCGTGGTCTTTGACCCCAGTTCCTGACACTCAGCCCCTAAGTCCCTTGGGATTTCCTGGGTGGTAAGAGTGTCTTTTGTTCTGAAGAGGCATTCGGTGGGCTCCTGGATGGGGCTGGCCCAGAAAGACCACACCATCATTAGAGGGTTGGAACTTTCAATCCCGCCTCCCATCCTCTGGGAAGGCTCAGAAAGGGGCTGGAGATTGAGTTAATAACTGATCATACCTACAGGAAGAAGTGTTCATGAAAGTCCTCAAAGAGTGGGGGATTCGGGGAGTCTCCAGGTTGACAAACATATCCACACACAGGGAGGGCGACCACCTCCACGCCCCAGGGCCAGCGCCCCTACGCCCGGGACCCCTCTGGACCTCTCCCATGTGTCTCTTCCCGTATCCTTCATCACGCCCTCAAGTATATAATAAAAAGACAAACTTTAAGGGCTTCCCTGAGTTCTTTGAGCCATCCTGGCAAATCGTCAAACCCAAGAAGAGGGCCGTAAGAACCGTGATTGTAGCCTGCCCGTCAGAAGCACGGGTGAGAACCTGGGACTGGCAGTTGGTGTCTGAAGTGGGGGGTGGGGGGCCTTGTGGGACTGAGCCCGTGAGCTGTGGGATCTGACACGAGCTGAGTTAAGTCGCAGACACCCAGCTGGTGCCAGAGTTGCTTGGTGCATGTATGGGAACCCCACACATCTGGTGTGGAAGTGAAGGCAAGTTGAGCGGGGTGAGTAAGGGAGACGCACGGGGGTTTTCCTTTAGGGCAGCACCAGCTCCCTCTGAAAACAAGGGTCCTAGCAGTTGCCATCTGACATCCCAGCTGGGACCCGGGCCACCACGCAGTCAGGTGGCCCCCCTGCTTTCAGGAGGCTGGGACATGTCTTTATCCTGGGAAGTTATGTCTCCAGCTCAAACTTCTGGACCATGGAAGGAATGTAGAGAGAACGGGCCAAGGGCAGCCTCTGCCACAGAATCTGCCACTGACCTGCTTCTTCCTCTACCAGTTTGTAGGAGAAGGAGAGGCAAGCAGATTTTTTTAAAAACAGTGCCGGCTTGGCAGTCAAGGGCATTTTAAAGCGTTCAGCCTCACAGAAGCGGGTAGTGTGAAATCACAAAAAAAGCAGGAGGTGGAACCGGGTCCCATTCTGCTCCCCCAACCCTGCTCAGAGCACGATTTCCACACACATGAGTGAGCAGACCTCGTCTTAGACGTCGCCACTGCCCACACTCGCCAGCAGCCAGCACTAACCTGGCACTGACGGCAGCTGGGGGCCCGGGGTGCCGGGCTCTGAGGTGGAGGCGGCTGGTGGTTACCCGAGGCACGGATGCAGCTAGTGGCCGTGGCAGGTGCCTGGCAAGTCCATTCCACTGTCCGGTGGCATCTCCGTGGTTCACGGGACTGCGGTGTCGGGAAGATTGTTGAGTAGACGAGCAAGGATCGGACTTGCAGTCCGAGAAGATCAACCTGGAACGGTGTTAGGAGGTTAAGGACAGAGTGGAGTGGGTGGCAGCGAGCAGACACTGCCAGTGGCAATGACGGGCCGGGTGAGCACCTCAGGGACGGCGGAGTCACACAGGGACGCCCCCCACGGGGCTGGGAAGCGCGCTGCTCCCGGGACGGGAGGGGTGCGGGGCTCAGGCAGTTATTTACCAGCACTGTCTTCTCAAGAGTCTCTTTCTGTAAGGAATTGCTCCTACCATTACCCCGACCTCGGCGAGCCTGCCAAACCGCAGGACTCTGCCCTGGGAACACAGGGTGTGTGTGTGTGTATGTGTGGGGTGCAGGGTGTGCGGGGTGATGTGCGGGGTGTGGGGAGGGTGCAGGGTGTGCGAGGTGTGTAGGGTGTGCAGTGGATGCGGGCGTGTGGGGTGATGGGCGGGGGGTGTGGGATGCGGGGTGTGTGTGGTCTGTAGGGAGTGCAGTGTGTGTGGGGGGGGTGTGGGGTGATGTGCGGGGTGTGGGGTGTGCAGGGTGGCGGGGGCGGCACCCACCAAGCGCAGAGCCTGAGGCAGGGGTAACGCGTCCCCCTCGGGCAGCCGCCAGTCAGGACGAGCATGAGCCCTGGCACGGGCACCTGTGTGCGGCGGGACCCGCAGACGGCACCCAGGCAGCCAGGAGTCCTCCCACCGCCCCGTCCAGTCCCAGCAGGGGCCGGACCAGTTCCCGGACTTCCCACCACATGGCCTGGTAACGCCCCTGTGCTTAAGCTACTGTGAGTTGGGTTTCTGTCCTTTATTGTGAAAACAAGGCAGAACTCAAAAACAAAGGTTAAGTAATGTGTCTTCCTATTAGAAACAGACTTAATAAAAACTTCTGAGAGTCTGCAGTAAATGCGGCCGAATGAGCGCTTCCGCACATCGGTATCTGAAATGCCAGCAAATTATGGACAAGTTAAAGGTGTTTAGGAGAATGTCGAGGAAGCCAGTTTTGCTCATTTTTGTTATTTCTCTTCTTACACTGTAGCTTTTGCTTTTGGAATTCTAAGAGGAAGAAAAGACACCACCGACCGTCTGACTCTGACCCTCACGGTGAGACACAGTGGCATCAAAGTTCTCTTCCTGTGACGCCGCGGTTTAAGCGGTTAATCTGATCTTAGCTGAGTGGCATGTTCATTACAGCAAATAAGTAGGTAATGTGGGGGATTACTGAAAGAAAAGATCAATTAAACGAGTTACAGGCATCACGTTGATTTTTTTTTTAACTGTCCGATCGAGCTTGGTGTTTTTCAAGTCAGACCTGATACACACTCATTTAGCAGAGATTAAGCCTGTGGAATTCTTGCCCAGGAAAGGTATGATATATGACTTTAGAAGTTAGTTTTAAGGGCAGCAATCCGTGATAACTCAGCACTGGCTCAGCACTGGCTCCAGCCCGACCGTGCTGGCACCGGGGGGTTCCCACGTGGTACAACGGCACCTCTCTCTTGCCATTAAATAGTTACGTTCTCATCATTTATGCTTTTCATGGTCGCTGAAGGGCTTTTCTTCAGGGTCTCACACGTCCTTCTGTGTGGACTTGCTACAAAGGCACCTTCCAACACAATGTGTAGTTCGGGAACGCATTTTGTCTCATTTACACATGCTTTCCTCCAACAAGGATTACAGAGTCCAAGAACCACTCACTGCACCAAGAGCACAAGAGGAAGGAGAGGGAGGGCCCTAGCACTGGAGAGCACGGTCTCGCCTGGGAAGGGGGGATAACCTACGGGTCACACACACCGTGGAGAGCGCGTTTCAGCAGGTCCCAGCTGCACAGGGCAGTCCGTGGGCAGGACTTGTGAGCGGCACGCGGCACCAGGCACTGGGCCTCACACAGGGCTCCGCTGTGTGCTCTCGTTTAATGTGCACAATAATCTTGCGAGGCCAGTTCTCTTACCTCCCATTTCACAGGTGTGGAAAGTGAAGGCTCAGAGAAGGAAACTGCTGGTCCAAGAGAGGGGAAAGCAGGACTTCAAACCCAGGTCTGATTCGAAAGCCCTTGCTGTTTCCTTTAGGGAACGCTGCTACCGTAAGAAATATGAAGTCAAGAGCACAAGAAAATCATAAAAGATGCCACGAAAGGAGTGGAACTGGGTGTGAGTCAGAGGGACCTTCAATCCAACTTGAAACCACATTTCCCCAGGACCCACTTGGCCATCAGTTCTGCTTGCAGCCATCCTTCCAGACAATACGATGACCCTGCAACACTTTAACTCCAACAAGCCTCTTGACTTTTACGCCGCTGTTGTGTGTTTTCATTGTATGTGTGTTTAAACCCCGCAGGCATTACTGCTGTAGCCAGGATCCATTTAGCTTCATCCATGTACTTTCCCCGTTGCACGGGTCCTCTCCTCCTGCACCTCTGAGTGTCCATCTAGGTCCATCTTCCTCTGCCTGAAGACCTTTCTTCAGGATTTCCTTTAATGTAGGTCTGCTTCCGATGATTCTTTCAGGCTTTATATCCAGAGATGCCTTTATTTCCCTTTTAAATTCAAAGAACATTGTTCCTGGGCATAGAATTCTAGACTGTGAGTTTTTTTCCTTTAGCACTTTGAAAATATTTTACTTGTCTTCTGATTTTCATTGTTTTTCCTAGGAAACCAGCAATAAGTTTAATCATTGCTATGTTGAAAGTAATGTTTTTTTTCTCTGTGTTTTGTAAGTATTTCTCTGCGGTTTTCACTTATTATGAATGTGAGTAGTTTTCTCTGTGTTTTGTAAGTATTTCTCTTTGGTTTTCACTTATTATGAATGTGACTAATTTTGTTTTAAATTCCACATGGGATTCCTAATTTGTGACTTAATGTATTTCACCAGTTCTGGAAAATTCTGTTATTATCTTTTCAAAAACTGCTTGTCTCATTTCCCGCTCCTTTGCTTCAGGAACTCTTAATACATTTGTGTTAACCTTTGGTACTGCATCCCCTACGTCCACCCGCACACCCCCATATTTTCACTTTTTTTCTCTCCATTGTTTCTTCTGGGGATATTCTTCCAACATATCCTTCATTTACTTTTCAACTATGTCTTACCGACTGTAAAACTTTTCCACTGAGTTAATTTCAGCAGCTGTATTTGTTGTTTGAGATTTAGTTTTATGGTCTCCATAATTATCAATAGTGGTTTTTGTTTTATCTCTGTGAACCTACTGAACGAATTGTGGAGGAATTTTCTGTCAAGTAATAGTTGAGACCAGGAAGCAGTCAATGAGTTCCGGCCCCACTTAGGGTTCAGCAGCTCAAGGAACGCGGCGCCCAGAACCTGGTGCTTTCGGAAGCATACAGGACGAAGGGCAGCAGCCAAAGACACAAGGAAAGAAACAAACTTTAACAAACGCTTAAAGCCCAAGCACGGGCTAGTGTGACAGCTCAGAATCCCTGGGAGCCACAGACACAAGCAGTCTGCCCCCCCACCCCTTGCCAGCTCTTTGCCATGGGCCTCCACTCGGGGGCGCTCCTGGAGGCATGCGGAGAACCAGAAGAGCCTCCCTTTGGGGTCACAGGCATGCGTATGACAGCCAGCTGTCCCTGGGGCAGGGAGGGGAAGCCTGTGTCCTCCTTTCATACAAAGAAAAGGCCATCTGCCACTAGAGGGTTGGTATTAAGTCTTCCATTGGTCCACAGTCCCAGGAAAAGGCTGGCAGTGGTGGGGGAGTTAAGAAGCCATCAGATGCTGGAGGGGGACAGGAAACCCACTTGTGACCAGGATTCTGCACAGATACAAACCAGAGGTCGGCTGCCAGTGCGAGAGGGACAGAAAACTTGCTCTTATTTACAGTCACCCTCCCATCACTGTGCAGAGTCTGAGGCTAGAGAAAGAACACTGCTGCCACAACCATAAGCCCTGTACAAGAGCCAAGCAACAGATCCCTACAGCAGAGGGGCAGGCAGGACCAGAGAGCGATCCCTCTGGTAGTAAGATACACAGTCTGCTGAGCTGACAGTTAAGCAGGGACCCTGAGAAAAACTCTCTGGCATTTCAGGCCACACACTAAATACAAAGTAGCAGCAGTCTACCAGTGGGGAAATTTGACATCTGTGATATACCGAAGGTGACGATACCAGCAAACCCAATCACCACTGATGAGAGGCACTCAGCCCCCCACACTAACAGCATGAAGGAGTTTGTCCATTTGCAGGTATAAATACTACTTACCTCAATTTCTGTTGTTCTTTGGCGTCAATGTTTAGCATTCAATCAAAGATTACAAGACACATTAAAAAGCAAACAAAAAATGACAACCCATTATAAAGAGACAAGACGGTCAAAAGAATTAGATCCAGAGATGGCTCAGATATCGATACTAACCAACAGGAACTTTAAAGTAACTATGATTAAAATGCTAACAAATCTAGTGGAATGGGTGAACAGCACGCAAAAACAGATGGAGACTTGCAGCAGAGAGACAGAAACTATCAAAAAGAGTTACACGGAAATCAATATAAGAATATAAACAAAATGAAAAAATAAAAATACAATAATAAGAGATAAAGAATCATTTTAACAGGCTTATCAACAGACTGGACACAGCACAAGAAAGAATCAGTGAACCTGAAGTAGGTCCAGTGAAACGATCCCAGCTGAAACCAAGAGAAAAAGAGAGTGAATATAACAGAAAAGTGTGCCCAATGGAGCTGTGGGACAATATCAAAAGGTCTAACATACATCTAATTAAAGTCCTAGAAGGAGGAGGGAAAACACAGCAGAAAAATATTTGAGGGTATAATGTCTGGGAATACTCCACAATTAATGAAAGACAGCAAAAAAAA